ACCGATTTGGTGCAGCACATGAGGGAAATGAGGCCCCAGACTAAATCTGTGCAGTTGACGGTCCCAGTACTCAGAAGGAGGAGAAAGCATGAGAGGAAGGCTACTACTGAGATTGAGATACGTTGGTGATCTCCAGGCCTGGAGCTTGGGAGAGACAGAGATGCGGATTTGGAAATTGTTGGCCTCAAAGTGTTGAAAGAAGATGACACTAGAGACTCCGACTTTAGAAAAGCAATCGAAATAAAATCAAGAAAGGGCACATCATCAAGAGGTGAGATACACCACGTTTAGCAGCTACCGTTTCTAACAGCACCTGGAGACAGCAGTCCAGGACGAAGACAACACCCTGGTAGCCACATGAGTTTTCAGGACCTCTTATGTGGGGATGAGTTGAAATACTAAAGGGAAAAGAAAATCCTAAAATTGCCACCAAGTCCCATAGGACTAGTGATCTAGCTACCCAGTGAGGTGTAGGGTGTTTCTGTGAACAGTTTGCACACCCAGACCGTAAGCTTGGCCGTCCCCTGTTGCACTCGTATCCTGGTGCTGACTTCGCCCTGTGAAACAGATACCTTGCCGTCTTCCTCTAAGACCCACGTTTAGTTGCCGAGAACATTGTCGGGTGACTATTCATTGTGGAGTTAGTGTTCACGCTAATTAAGAAAGCACAGACACATTTTTTTCTGGCCAAGCAGCAGATCAGATCACTGCAACTTTTCTTGCTTCTGGGTGTCTGTTAGTTTCAGAATGCAGGCCCCTGTTTTCGAAATAAGTCTCTTTGATACCAGCTTCTCAATGTCTCTTTTTTTACTCTATTTTCAAAATAATGCACGCCTGTCTTTGGAAATAGACCCATGAATATCTTAAATCCACATTGCTTCGCAGTTGTCTTCTTTGTTTTATGTCGATGAGCTTGCTGTAGTCCCACATCTCAAATCATTAGAACCAGGAGGTCAGTGAGGTAAAATTAAAACAAGTACTTTGGAAGATTGTAAACACAGCATAAATTTCAGCTTCATGTAAATAGGCGTGATTTCCATAATAAAACCATTACTGATGTCACCGGTGCATAGCAATGAAGCCCAGGCTGCAGTTACAAAGGAGGCAGATAACACAGCACTACATGTTCTTAAAAAGACGCAATTAAATTCATTGAAATCATATTTCCCACTATAAAAATAAAGAGATGTGATGTGTTCTTGGAATCTAACTCCTTTACTACTTTCTTAACAATAGCGGTACTCACTGCCTTCTCCCCTGGCTGGCTTTTCCCCCTCCCACGGGTAATTTCTTTCACTAAAACCTTTCAAACTACCTTGTTTTCCACATTCGTGCCTCCTTGCTAATTGAAGTATGTAGACAAAGTACTTGGATGATTCGATTGTGTTTTCCTCCCCCTGTAGAGGAACTGCTTCTCGGCACCAGCCTGGTTTACTTAGCACAGTCTCTCTCTCTCTTTTTCTTTTTTAAGATTGAAGGTTTTGACCCTCGGAAGTGTGGAACTCAGTGTCATTAAGCACATCCATAATGTTGTGCAGCTGTCACCACTCGCACAATTCCCGGGACTGTTATCCCAAACAGAAACTACCCATTAAACAGTAACTCTCCCGCTTTTCCCTGCCCCCCATAACTTCTGTTCTACTTTCTATCTATGTGAATTTGCCTATTCCAGGTATACATCTAAGTGGAATTATACGATATTGTCCTCTTGTGTCTGGTTATTCATTTGGCATAATGTTTTCAAGGTTATTTATTCACGTCGTAGTCTACATCAAAATGTCGTTTTTTTTTTTTTTTTTTTTTTTGAGAGGTTTTTGCTGTAGGGCACGTGCACTCGCCAGAAAGACAGAGAGAGACAGAGAGACAGAAAGCAAGAAATCATCCCCCTCAGGGAGGATGGCCAACGCCGCCATCCCTTCTCCTCCATTCTCCTCTGGGGATCTTGGACACGCATGCACACGTGCCCGGCATGAGTTCAAGCCACCAGGTCTGGGGCTCCAACTGCGGTTGACTACATGGGAGTCCAGGGACATAGCCATTATGCTAACAGCTGGTCCCAAAGTGTCGTTCATTTTAAAGCCTGGACATCTAAGTCTGTTTGGTCTGCATTAACAAAATACCATGGTCAACTGGCTTTCAAGCCACAGAAATGTATTTCTCTTGGTTCTAGAGACTGCAAAGTCCAAGAAGAAGGTACTTGTGATCTGGAATGCAGGGATTCAAGGGTGATCAGGCCCAGCACCTGCTGCAAGACATGGGTTATATTTTGGTTCCCTGACTGGGAACGGGCGTGTATTTTTCTATTAAAAATCTTTACTTTTGGGGACCAGCAGATGGTATAATGGTTCTGTTGCTGGACTCCCACACAGTCATCCATGGTTTGAGTGCTGGACCCAGTGGCTTAAAATCCATGTTGGGCACGTGTGCATGCATGCGCTAAATCCCAAGAGGAGAATGGAGGAGAAGGGATTGCAGAGTGGCCATACCCCTGGGGGGGTGATTTCTCATTTTCTGTCTCTCTGTCTCGCTGGCGACCATGTGCAGCCTACAGCAAAAAAAAAAAAAAAAAAAAAAAACACTAAAAACAGAAAAA